TGTTGATTTACATTGTTTACTTTTTTTTTGTATAATATGTAAACTAAATTAAATGTTTATTTTTTAAAAACAAAAATAAAAAATTGTGATACTAATGGCAACATTAAGAATTTTAATAATAAAAAATTAAGCTTGAAAGTTTTGCATTATTTTTTTTATTTTTCAAATATTTCTATTTCAATAATAACATTTTAAACAATTTTATATTTTCATTAGATTTTTTACTTGAAAAGCTTTTTTTTAATATTATTTAAAAAAAAAGAGGAAAAAAAAAATTTTTTTTGATTTTTTTTGTGTAATTCATTAATTTTGAAGTGTTTGCGTCGTTAATGTTTGTGAGTAATTTGCGATAATGTCGAGAATAGATTTAAGAGCTCTTCATGATGCAAATAATATACCATGTCCGTTCCGTAAGGATGATCATTTAAATGGTAAGAATTTATTTGGAAAAATAAATGTAAAAGTTATAATAGTTCTTAGGGGCAGAAAAGTGCATCAAATTATAATTGTAAGTTGTTGTATAGTAAATTTGTTTCTAATGCAAATAAAGTTATTCTTTTCCCTTATTGTGTTTACTCATAAACATTATGTTAATAATATAGTGAATGTATTTTTTTTTTGGAAATTTTATTATAATGGGTTTTAATATTAATATTCTTAAAATATTTTAAACAAACAACAATTCAGTGATAAATTATAAATAAACAATTCAGTGGAAATGTTCAAATTTTACTAGTAGATTTTATTTAAAAATCAAAATGGCATTGTATTCTTTTCTAATTATACTTTTCGTATTGTGAAATTCCATTAATATAATTGATGGAAAATCGATTTTTAAAGTAAAATTTTTAAATTTTTGTTTATTTCACTACCTAGTACCTATTGCATAGCATCATTGAAAGTTGAATTTTTTTGAATAAGAATTTACTTAATAGAAAAATATGAATTCCTTTTATAATATATTAAAGTTTGTGTTAATGAACCGTATTAAATGATCGTTTATAAGCGTTTATATACGCTTTAAAATTTAAATGATCGTACAAGTTTTAATATAAAAATAAACCATACAAAATTTTTAATTATTAATTTGGGAACCTTTTCTCATACTACCCTTATATTTTGCAGCTTTGCATTCTAAATTACTTTCATAGAATTACTAACAGCATACTAACAGCATTTTTAAAAATCATTTTAATAAAAGTCAATATAACTTATCAAATTGAAGAATGTAAATTGTTTTGATTTCAAGTTTTTTGATCACTTGTCTGTTATCTGTATTATTCGGTCACTTATTTTTTAAAAAAAAAAAAAACAAACCAAAATTATCGTGGTTTTACCGGTATTAAAAATTTATCGAAAGCGTAAGAATTTATAATTTTATCTGCAAATACAAAATTATAATATTTTGGTAAACCACGTATAAATATTTAAAATAAATTATTTACAAATTTTTTAATGAACATAAGGTGAAACCGAAATTTATTTTTAAATATCTAATGAAATTTTTTTTCCAAAATAAACTGAGAACAGTTGTACTTATACTAACTGTTTTATTCTCCTTCTATTAAAGAACAATTCTTCTAATTGATATTTAATAATGCATTTTTATTTATCTTATAATAGATTTCTTAATAATTAATTGTGATTGGTAAAATATTAATAGTACAAAAAAAAAACAAAATTCTCAGTTGTTGGGGGTGATTTACTTAAAAGGTATTGTTGCCAAATTAAAATAAATTATCGAAAATTCTCAGAATATAATAAATAAGTAGTAAGTAATTTAATTTTCATATTATTTTGTGCCACATACATATGTATATAATATGTATACGTAACTTAAGGTGGAAATATTATGAAAACAATATTTTTATTCGTTCTTTTTTCATTGTCATTTACTGCTGTCTAATAAAATCCGATTATTATTAGACTAAAAACTGAAAATATTATTTTTTTCTTTCTCATTTTGTTAATTTGCTTAATATTTTGTTTTATTATTTGGTTGGCAGTTACCCAAAAAACGTCATTCATTGTATTTAAAAAATAAAAAAAAATAATTATATTTAAATACATACATAGTAATATGTACTTATATATATTATTTATATATACATACAAGTAGAAGTACATAGGTGTTTCTTTAAATTCCCGAAAATAAATGAAAGTTATTTTGAGTATTAAAATTTGAAAGAAAAATCAATTTTGTATTCTGCAAACGTCGTATTTCTGCACAAAACTATAACTAACACTTATTTTTTTTTATATATATAAATCTGTATATGTATGTATTTATGTGCATATTTATTTAAAATATTTTTATATTACGAAATAATAATGAAAAATAGAATAATAAATTTATTATGTTATTTATTAAATTATAATTCTCAGGCGATAAAACGTAAGCAAATTTTAACGATTTTAACACTTACGCAATTCCAAACCATTTTTTTTTTAATTGCTTCTTGAGATTTGTGAGTATATATAATGTAAATACATAATAATTGTTATTTTCAAAACAAAAAAAATATAACTAATGTTATTATTATATATAAAATTAAAATATTCATATATAAATGGGAAATTATTAATCAAATACAATTTTCAAATACATATTCTAAATCAAAAATAAAATTCAAAATCTCATTTGAATTTTGAATGAAGTTATAATAAACCGGTGTCGAATACATACGCGCTATTATACATATATGCGTATTATATTATATTATATATATAATTACTGACCGCAATGTATTCAATTAGGTTATAGGGAAGCGTGTAAATAAACTATTTTTAGAAAGATATTCTGTCTGTCTGTATTACTCCTGTGTCACTCAAGTTTGGATAAAATGATTTTAATGAAAATTTATGTTTGGATTTACTTTGGCCATATAACGAATTGATAAAATTTTGGGGTATGTTAGGCCTTAGCAACTCAATTTTTACGTTTTGTATGCGGACTTTTACGTTTTTGACTATTTTATGGTTGTTAAAATAATCCACCAGTAAATTTCTTGAAAATTTTAGGGCACTAAAGCCGATATTTCATTAAGAGCCGATTTTACATTTTGTTTAATAATTTCTAAGGAAATAATTAACGAATATTTTTTTGCAATTTAATATTTGAGTTCTGTTTGTCAGCAAAACAAAATAAAGAATTTTCCAAGGAATTCGGATTGGATAAAGTCAACCTTTACTAACAACCCAATTTACATTTTTCTAGATAAATTAATTGAAAGGTTATTAACTTTGATAATTGTAATTTTCAAAATCTTGTACAATTTTTTCGTTCAATTAATGAGTATAATTGAATAGGCATTTCTTAATATTATTCAGAAAATACACATTGTAGTCGGTTATATGCTGTTTACATCAGATTTTTTTATATTCCTATGTATGTATCTTCCACTCAAATATGTATATACTTTTCTATATATCTAGTAATTTTTCTAATTAAAAGAAAACGATTTTTTGAATCGTTTATCTTTGTTTTTTTTTTCAAACAAAGAAATATAAACTTAAAACTACAAAATACTGGTTTTTCTTTCACTTACTTTAAGAATATTCGAATATGAATAGATAAAATGTGATTAGAAAGCGGTTCAGTAACACATAAATGTGATTTTTTTTTTATTTTGCTAATGAGAAAGATTTTGACTATAATTGTGCAAATAACTTAGTTTTTATAGGGCTAATATTAAAATATATGTAAGTACGTATATTTTTATGTTAATGACGAGTGGGTTTAATGTACTCAATTTGTTTTTAATACCATGCATTATTTGAAATACAAAACTTATCTGAAAAAATTTGTCCAAATCTGTTTTTCTTTCAAAATCTATTATAAATAAATACATATATATATACATATCTACTTCATAATTGCATTTTATTTATACAATTGTTTTTACTGTTGCCCTTCTTGTTGTTGTAAAATAATGAAATTTTATAATAATTATTCTCATCTCATTTTTAACATAATAGTTATGTACTTAATTTCACTCGTTGTACTGTTTATTTCTCGCCTAATATTGTGAATATGTGATTAAGGTATGCATATTAGTTTTTTTTATTAATAATAATTTACATATGTGTAGCACATTATTATTTTACAATTTTGAACTATTAAACTTAATTCTATAAAATTTTAATTATACAAGAGTTATAACACATTTTTTTCTTATATTATAAAAGTTATAATAATAATAATAAAATTTATTAAAAAATCTCTTTGGAAATGTCTAATAAATAAATAAAATTAAGAATTACTAGAAAATTACTAGAAAATTGTATTACATACAGGTTCTTAAGTTAGGCCTTAAATAATTTTCATCAAAAAAAAAAAATAAGTTAAGCCCTTTGGAACATTTTTTATTTATTTTTATTTTTTTTTTTTTGTAAAAACTTTTCTTGTTCCTTAATGGATATAGAAAGATGTAGGAAATATTTACCAGTTTTTTCCAATTTCTTATTTTTAAATTATTCCATATTCAATTATAAATTCTACTTAATAAACTGCATTCTTAATCTACAATATTTAATTATGAAAATCTTGTTAATAATTGAAATATTTTTTTAAAAAAATGTTATATGTATGTACATATGTCAGTTTATTAATATCAAATACCACTACATACAATTTATATCAATGTATTTAAAAAAATCTATATAATTCTCACATCAAACTCTATAAAAAATTCAAGAAACTGAAATACAAATAAAAACTCAATATATTTTAATGGCTGATTTTTATCAGATAGTAATATTTATATAGCAAAATAAATAAAATATACTTATACATGTATTAAATGTTATAATCAATTTTACACTATCAACCTCTCCCTTTATTATACAGTTGTGAAACGTTATTATCTCAGACAGTATGTATTTAATAAATATGTTTTTAAGAAATAAAAAATATTTTTTAAAATTCGAATAATATCTTGTTAAAATGTTTTTATTATAGAAAAAATTTAATTTTTTTAAATTTCTTATTTCCATTGCAGAATCTAACGTGGACGGAGTTAAACACCCACCCAAATCATTTGGAACAGATGATGGTTTTCAAGGTTCAAATGCCGCATGTGGTAGTTCTATAATTGAAGTTGCACAACGTATGGTATCAGGTCGTTCTTTTCATTCTAACAGAGGATTACAAGTTTCTAAGTAAGTTTAGCCATCTAATTTTATAATTAAAAAAAAATAAAAAAAATTAAATTTAAAAAATCGTTCTTATTTTAGCGTGGATCAAGACGAATTTGAATCTTTTCAATTGAAAACTGTCGAAGATCAAACTTTGAAAACAAGTTCATTAATTAAACCAGAACCTTACGAATTAGAAGCACAACAGGCTAAAAACAGATTATTAATACGCCGTGGATCTAAATCGTTACCGTCATCACCACTTGGATCGCCCAAATCGATGAGGAAATTTCAGGCTAATCCATATTTCACTGGAACTTTTACCCTTGCTAACCAGAACACAGAAGGAAGGTAAATTATTATTTTTGTTTTATATTTTATAAATTATTAAAAATTAATTTTTATTTTTAAGGGGTTGGTTTCTAGCATCACTTTTGGGTATACAACGTGAAGCAACACCATCATCATCAATACATCATATAGACGAGGAACCAGAAAATTTCAACAACGATAACGTTGAGCAAAGTGATAATGCAAAAAATTTGCATACAAAAATTCTAAAAGCAAAACCATCAGAATTAAGAGAAATGAATTTTTGGTCTCCAACATCGATGTAAATATTTAAATTCTAATTTTTCATTATTATTTCGTCAAAATAAGCCCTTTAAACAATAAATTGGCGAACTCAAAATTTTTTGTATTATTAAACTTTAAAATGATATTAAGAAAGAAAATGTTGAGTTATATTGTACAAAATCGATTTAATTATTGTATATAAAAATGGTTTCAAATTTGTTTATGATTTTAATAATTAAAAATTAGGGAAAAGAAAGAAAAGTGAGCATCAATGAAAAATATTTTTTCTAAATATTAAATAAATTAATTATATCATAAGAAAAACTTTGGAACGGTTTTCTTTTCTCGTTTTTGCATAAAATTTTATGTAAAAACAACTGGGAACATAGATTAACAAAAAAATATTCCTCGAAACTTTTTAATTTGCAAATTATAACTTATATAAAAAATTGTCGTAAAATTTTTATATTTTGTAAATAAATCTTTTGAATTAGTATCATTTTTGTTAAACTTTTTGTTCTGGTTCAGAAAATTATGTAAAAACTATAAAAATGTATTTTATATTATATTTTTCAAGAAGTAGAAATATACTAAATTACAAAAAAGATAACGCTATTTATTATTATAATTTTTTTTAGTCATTTTTGGTTAACAACTTCTCATTAATCTTACACAAGATGTTTAAATTAAAGATATTTTGAATATGATTTCCTTTTCGCGTTTCACAATTTTTTTTGGTTGAAATGGTGAAAAATTTGAATATTTTTCGAAATTTAATTTAATCATTCAAGACAAATTTTCATGGTAAAACTGCTCTCAATTAAATAATATAATTGCAAATTCAAATGTGGACTTAATATTTCCTTCACGGTTTACATTGCTAGATATTGAACATGCTTTTAACTTACATTAATTATACATATTTAACTTTTCAGAAAAAAAGTGAGTTAAATAAACATTAGGTATTTATTATTTATTAAATCTTATTAAATTTTTTTATACTGTTTTAAAAGTTATATTTAATATTTTTCTTATTAAAAACGCTGTTGAAAATTATTCGCCTGAGTATTATTATAAAGCATTTGCTGCTGTTGAAAATCTTGATTTTGGCTTATGGTTTGTTGTTGATGTGAAGGGCCAGATAAACGAACTCTTTTACTGCTAGGTTCACCGTGATTCGATGTTTGATTTTGTTGTTGAATCTATCAAAAAATTATTTGAGGTAAATTTAATTTGAATAGCAAAGTAATTTTCAGTTTAATTTTAAACATACCCCTTGCTGCTGTGTTTGTTGTTGTTGTGGTTGTTGTTGCTGCTGCTGCTGTTGCTGTTGTTGCTGCTGTTGTTGTTGCTGTTGTTGTTGTTGCTGCTGTTGTTGTTGCTGTTGTTGATGCTGTTGTTGTTGTCTTTGTTTATTTTCAGATTTATCCTCGTTATCATCATCAGTTAAAAATTCTCTCTTAGGATAGGGAATTGGACAACCAGCGAAAACATCTGCAGTTGGTAATGGATCTTCTTGAAAATAAGAATCTTGCATTGCTTGTTCTGAAGTAATTCGTTTGTTTGGGTCCATTAATAACAATTTTTGTAGTAAATGAAAAGCTTTACTGTCAGGTTTGATTTTAAAACGTTCCATGTATTTAGCTAAAGAACAATTGGAATAGCTGAAATCATAAAAAGTGAATTATCAGTTGTAAAGTTTGTAAAAGTTTAATTTACTTAGCTCTTTTAAAGTCTTTTGTTAGTGTATGGTGCTCTGGCATTTTCTTAATATCTTCCCAGTCTTTATCTTGTGGAAATCCCATTACATTAAAAATTCTATCCAGTTGGTCGTGATGGTATGGATTACTGGTTTTAATATCTTCTTGCCTACAATGAAAAATAGGTTCGGATGTAAGTAATTCTGCAAATATGCACCCAATAGCCCATATATCGATCGCTTTTGTGTAATGTCGAGCTCCTAGTAGCAGCTCTGGAGCTCTATACCAAAATGTTACTACAACTGGATCCAAATCGGCTAGAGGTTTTAAAGGAGCATTAAACAAACGAGCAAACCCCATATCTGCTATTTTAACACGTCCTCTTTCATTTCCATCTCCCATAACTAATATATTAGCCGGTTTCTAAAAAGAATCCTACAATTATTAGGTACACGTGTACATAAAATGAATTCGAGTTTAATTTTACCAAATCCCTATGAAGAACCCAATTAGAATGTAGATAATGTATTCCGTCTAATATTTGATAAAGCAAACTTTTAACCATCGCTTTAGGAACAACAACTTGTTTTTTTGCTGCTTTGGCTGCTCTGTGAAATTTAATTATATGCCACAAATCATGTTCAGCATAATCAAATAATAAAAATACTTTTCGATCGTTGTGGGATAGAAATACCCTTATTAAGTTAATAACATTTGGGTGCTTAAGTTCTCGCAAAAGCTATATGCAAGAAAAATTGAAATATACATGAAGAAAATTTTGAAATATGTACATACATATGTTAAAATTTTTTACTTACTGCTATTTCTCGACAAGCTGACATTGATAAACCGGTACCTTCTATTTGTTTTAGGGCATATTCCCGATCACTGCCTTCTTTCCGTTTAGCTTTATAAACATGTCCATATGTGCCACGACCTACTTTACATCCCTCATAATTAAATAAATCTTCAACTTTTGTACGTTCCGTCTGCGTTTTTATTTTAAAATCATAATCCATTTTGTATAAAAAGAATAACTACTTTGTTTACAATTTGTTTGACAAGTTTCAAAGTGTCAAAATAAAACCGAGAGTATTTTGAAGTTAACTTTTCAGTTTTTTGACGTTTTGTGATATGACAGATTTGGTAATGAAAAATCCTTGATAGCGGATCAGTGCTTTTAAAATTCTCAATATAAAGGATTTGGATACTTTATGCTAAGGACTATTTTTACAAGAGCAATGTCTTCTAAAAGTGCCTTAGTTATTCTTGCACCTGGTGCAGAGGAAATGGAATTTGTAATTTCCGCAGATGTTTTAAGAAGAGCAGGGATTCAAGTTACTGTAGCCGGACTTGAAAATAGTGAAGTAGTAAAATGTTCAAGGGAGGTTATTATCAAACCTGATGCTAGTTTAGAAGATGTGAAAAATGTAATTTGTATTTTCATTAGAAAAATTTATTTATTTAACTATTACTTTACTTTAGAATGATTTTGACGTAATTGTCTTACCAGGTGGATTAGGTGGTGCTAAAGCATTTGCTTCATCTAAAATTGTTGGAGAATTATTAAAAAAGCAAGAATCAGCAAATAAAATTATTGCAGCCATATGTGCAGCACCGATTGCCTTTGATAGCCACGATATTGGGTTAGGTAAAAAGATAACATCGTACCCCGCCTTCAAGGATCAACTCTCAACCAAATTCAAGTTAGTCAGAGTTGTAGTAATAGACTGTAGAATTAGAAAAATTAACCTATTCGGTTCCTTTTAGATACATTGAAAACGAAAGTGTAGTAAAAGATGGGAATTTTATCACAAGTCGCGGCCCAGGAACGGCTTTTGACTTTGCACTGAAAATAGCAGAAGAACTAAATGGAGCTGATAAAGCAAAAGAAGTTGCCAAAGCGATGCTGCTAGCTTAGTATGTTTTCGATTTATAATATCTACTTTGCTTGTGCTCCATTAAAGTTACCTTGATTTTATTTAAATTTATTGCACGTTAATTTTTATTACTATTTGTAACCACCATTATTACATCGATATAATTACGAGATTTTCGATATTATTCCCGAATCAGACTGATAGGATGAATATAGAATTGCAAAAATTATTAGGGGCAATTTATTATTTTTTCCCTTAAACTTTAGAAAAACTAAATTTAGAATAAACTTGATGAGATCTTATTGGATTTAATAGATCTTAATGATGAGATTTCCTTCTATCGTCATTTATTTATAATTACACGTAACCGACATTATATTTTAATTCTAAATATTAGCTAAAATAACTCGGAAACAACTCGTCTGCGAAACGAAAATTTTCAGGCTAAATTATCAAAAAAATTGAAAAAAACATCTTCAAAAGAAAAAAATGCTTTTAAGCTTTTTGAGCAATGTTGAGTTTGAAACCTGTTCATTGGAAGCTGTATCACCTTAAAGAAAAAACTTTTTTTTGTTATGATAATCAATCAATATCAATTTTTGTTTCCTAAAATTAATGAATATTCTGGCAAAAATGTTCAGAAAAGTTGTTTTTAACGAACGTCTTGATATTAAAACATAGTTTCGGCAAATATTTACATACACTTCACTTTCGCCATTAACTGTAATTTAAGAATATTTACAAAGTAAATGACAAAGTTCAAATAAAAATTATTACAAATTTAGAATTTGTGTTTATATTTATAATCTTACCTTAAATTGGCATAAAAGCGCCATTGCGTCTTGTGTAATCACGGAGTTAATCGTACGTATTAATGAGTTAAGTAAATCGCGATTACAATGAATCGCGTAGGCGTGTTGTTTGTTGATATTTTGCAATGCTGCACATCGATTGTTAGACACGTTGAAAATATGTTGACCAACATAGCGACTCTCACTTAAACTTAAGTTTGAACCTTTAAATGGTTGGTCAACAAGTCCTCTAATGGTTCCACGTGTTGACAACTAGCTTGATATTTTGATTTAGTGGAGTGATTATCCTTTTCGAGACTTTTGACTTTACGAAAAGCTCTTATTTTTCTTGAGACAACACTTCTAGTATGAAGTAAATTGAAAAAAAAACTGGTAATATAATACGAAATTTTCCGTGAATGAAACTACGTGCAACTAGTACGGCATACGTACGTGCAACTAGTACGTATGCCTTTTCATCTTGAACCATTGGAACAATTCCAGGCCTTCGTCACTCTAAAAATTTTAAGTTTATCGCAAGAGCGAGAGCGATGAGGAAATTTGACCTACTTTAAAAAGTTTATTTTAAATGGATACACAAGTCTGCTACCTTAGTATAGATGAGAAGGAGGCGGTGGAACACCCATTGTACGAAGTCTTGGGGCTTGAGGTGGCAGCAAGACTACAATTTGTCAGGGACCTAGGTACATATACAATGCTAATGTAGGCGGTGATGAGAATCATAAAAGATTCTATAGATTAACGTGAGAAGACCAAAATGTCCCATTCACTTGTTATGAAAAAATAAACATGTAATATTTTGACATAATTCATTTTGGTTTCATAGAATATTCTCTCTTTCAAAGTCTTGGATTGTTGTTTCTATTTGATTATTTAACTGTGATTGTAATTTCGAAGATTATTCATTGTTATTATAATTATTCAATTACGAGTATAACGTATGTATGTGTTTCAATTATTTCATTTTGATTACAATTACTAAAATCGCTATTTTAAATCGCGTTCATAAAAACCTGTTACAAGAAACACTAAAAATCGCTATTGTGATTTCATAATTCGTGTTGACATTTCCAACAATCCCACTGATAATATTTTTCTTTGACGTGTCCAGTTCATTGTTTCACAATTCACAATTTAGGTGTTCATGTATGTTCGAAATTATTTTGTTAAAACGAAGTTAAAAAATTTAAATTATCAAGTCTAACATTTATATTCCAATTGGAAATGTCTGACGAAGAATCACAAAAAGTTGCAGGTCATCCTCCAGCAGGTAAATACTTCTTTTTGTTATTTAATTAAAATAATACATTCTGTTTTAGATGTAGCTATTTGTTTATAAAATTTCATTGTCAATTCTAAAACATTTGAAATACCTTGTGTTTATAAAGTTAGTTAATAATTGCATATTTAATCATTTGCCTTAAATTAATTTTAGAAATTGACTAACAGAAATGCATTTATACGTGATCATAATTATATAAAAACACTTAACGCTCAAATCCTGTTGAGCTAATCAATTTGTATTGCATGTTGTTTTGATAAGAACATTCCACGTTGCATAAACTTTATGACGCTTTAGAAAAATAATTGAAAAATAGGTGCTTAAATAATTTTGAAAGTAACTCTAAAATTTATATTTTGACCATTTGCTATTAGAAAATAAATCGATAAATAAAGTTTTAATACTATAACGCGTATACAATATGTTAATTGGCCAAAATAATTTACAAAAAGTTTATATTTTTTCCAGTAAAAGCTGGTGGTATGAGAATTGTTCAACATAAAAATCCTCATCCCGAAAGACCAGCAAAAGATGCTGAGGATTGTACAGGTTTGACTGTAAGAAATAATTTTTGTCTAAAAAAAAAGACTATGTAGGTGAAAAAATAAGATTGATGTTTGTTTTCTTTTAGCAACCAGTCAATATTCAAAATGCTATGTCGGTTAGTGGTGCTCCTGCTAAGGGTAATGTAGATTATTCACCAGCTGCGGCACAAGTGGCTCATTCGCCAAAGCCACCAAATCAAATTCCGCATAAGCCTATTAATAATATTCAACAACCCAGGAAGTAGATCTTAGATTCTGTTTACATAATACGCTATATTTTTTAAATTGTTTTTTAAAAAAAGAGCAAGACCATGGATTCTTTCCTAAAACTGGATAACAAGGTGTTTTTTGATTCATTCCTTTTTTTATTTAGTTTAAGTATATGAACCGTTTTTAGAATATTTTGCTGTTTATATTATAATCAAAATATTTAATATACAATCAAAACTTCATTTTTTTTAATCTATTTTTAAAACTAACTAAAAACCAAGAAATTATTTTCTAAAATTAAATAAAAGTGGGAAAATTTTTAAATTTCATAATTATATTGTACAATTTTATTTATTTATGCAGACATAAACTCTGATGGGCAGTGAAGTTTTTTAAAATAGGTTTTTTTTTTATAAAAAAAAAAATCAGCTCATTCAGCTCTTAAATTTAAAATAACATATCTAAGAAATAGTGTTCAAAAATTTAGTAGCTATATGTATACTTAGGTACTCATGAATCTTATATTAGAAAAACAAATAAATTTTGTTTCATATTCCTTATTACGAAAAGAGTAATGTTCAAGTATGTTCCTGAGATTATTTTTTAATGAACAAGGCCTTGCAAACTGCTGAGGCATACCTATCTCAAAAATATGTTTTAAAAATATTAACAATGAGTGATCAAATTATAAAACAAAATTCTAGGAATCTTTTCTGTTGAAAAAAGTTTTCCGAAATATTTCGGATTAATATAGAGAAGTTGTTGTTATTGTTCATGTTTGTGTTTTTTTAATGTACATAATTTTGGAATTTAACTTTTCACTTTTTACTTTAATTTAAGGTGTCATATATTTTTATAAAAAATTGTGAAGTATGTATATATGTTCATATGAATGTATGTATGAATTACATCAATATAAATAGAATTATACACCATTAAACAATTTGTCAGTTTTCATGATTCGTTAATTATTTGTGAGCAATAGGTATAAAAAAGTTAAAATAATGTATAATATACATAAGTTTAAAAACTTAGGTGAGACAAATAAAATAATTTTTACTAAATTTAATTAAACTGTTAATAGTTTTAATTTTTTGCTTCTTTATTTACGTAGTTATTAATAAATATAACTTTTTCTTTGATTATGTAAAACAATAGAGGGGTCAAAGTAATTTTAAACTTTAAAATCTAATAATGGTATCTAACCACGTTCTAAAATGGGCTACATTGGCATACATTCCCGGATATTCAGGATTACCACAACCATAGCCCCAAGAAACAACTCCAATTAGTTTACCATTGCTAACTAACGGGCCACCACTGTCACCCCCACATGAATCTCTTGGTTTGTCAGTGCCTCCAGCACACAAATTTAAATCAGTATATCTTTTAGGGCCAAATATTTGACCGCATTTCTCCTTGGAAAATACATTCACTTGAACTGCACGTAAATTAGTTGACATTTTTCCATTTTCAGTTATACCCCATCCGCTAGCAAAAGCTATTGTGTTAGCTGGAACTATTTCATTAGATTCTGGTAGATAAGCTGGCTTTATTTTATCATTGAAATAAATTGGTTTTTCTAATACTAAAACAGCTATATCTCCTTGAAAATTGGCCCATTCGAATGTTGGATACGAGTGAATTTGGGCTACTTGCGATAATTCACCCTCAAGTGTACGATCTGTAACGCCAGCTTTAATGCGGAATGGTCTAGGATCAGAACCTACACAATGTGCTGCTGTAATTGCATAATAAGTATATGTATCACCTGGACGTCCTATTATTGTAGCTCCACAGTGATGAGTTGTACCACGTACTAATTGTGCTTGGTGTGGAAATTCTTCAACTGTAGTTTCAAATCCATTATAAATGCGACCATCAAGCATTGGTTTCACATTTGCTGAACTTAAGCAAATAAAACTTATTCCAAAAATAATTGCGATCAACATTGTTCTCTAATTTTAAAAATCTTTAATCTGTTTTGTAAGCGGTAATACACTACCTATATATAGTTTAATTTATCTGTGAAAAGTTTAAACGTTTTAACTTGTTATCCGTTTTTAATTTGACAGGCTCTCGAGAAGATATGATTATATTTTGAAACACTTAATTTTATTTTTAAACTATTGCTCAATATATAATAATTGCAGAACGAAGCCTAATTTACATATGTATATGTGAAGTAAACTTGTAAAAAATGTGTATGTACCAAAATCATTTGAATTACACGCACAATCATATGACGATTAAAATTCAATTTTATTTTTTGTAGGCAATTAAAAACGATTAGAAAGAAACTAATGTATGTATATATTTATGTATTACATTGGTTTTTCTTTAATAAATTTTATCTGAACATATTTTAACATTTTAAATGGTAATTGTCAATAAAATATAAATTTGAATTCCATCTTATGATCATGTTCCATATTAACTTTTGTTGTTGAAATTTTTAACTGCTTCCAATTACTTACACATATGTTATCTTAAACGAAAAAAATAAATATATATGTACATATCTATAAATACGTACATACTTCCTGCAAAATGTTTCAATATTTTATCCAATTCAGTATAAGAGCATAAAAACGAATGAAATATTACTGGAACAACGTTTATCACTAAATAATTTTTTTAAAATTGACAATTTTTTTTTGCGTTTTGTGCATACATATTATTAAATATTTAAATTAAATATTTATTTTTCTGGAGCTGCAGAATTCCAAAGCCGGTTTTTAGTGCTAGCATTGTTTTTATCAAATTTACTTAGTGGCTTTAAATGAGCTCCATCAACTATATCCCTAAAAATGAATATAATTTGAATTAAATTCAGTAGGGTAAAGTATTAAATAAAATTAAGCAATTAGTTTTTAAGTAGGGTATATTTTTTAATAATTATAGACAATTACGATTTTTTCTAATTTTTGAAGCCTTATTCATTTTTGATTCACCTTCGTTATCATATTTTATTGAAAAATAAATTCGTGTTAATTACAAAAAACATGAGAATGTACTTAAAATTTTTTATGATTTTTTCGAGAAACTTTAGATTTGAATTATTATTTCCTTATTTTAATTTAAGGACATTAAAAATTACGTTTACCCGTTCAGAAAAATTCAATTATTTTTCTTGTAAAATAAATATTTTATTTAAAATATACTTACTTAAATTCATCATAAGAGCTTGTTGATTGAATAGCCCGAATTTTGGCATCATTTCTAATGTAATACAATTTTTCTTCTTTTAAAGAATTAAGACAAGACTCTCGAAGTTTTAACAATTCTAATTCTGTGAGTTCATTAAAACATTCATATGGTAAAGTTTTTTCAAGTGACATTTTAAAGTAAAATGTTTTTATTTTAATTAAATTTAAAAAAAAATTGACTTAATTAAAGCAGGCTATTATGCATAAACAATTAAATTCAAATTAAAATTGTTTTAAATTTTTTAAAATTATTTAAAATTTTTAGTGTATTTACTTTAAATTTTTAGCATGTTAAATCGATATTCTTTTAGTATTAAACTAAAAATGGTTTAGTATGTTAAATACATTTGTACTGTTGTGGGTGTAATAATGGAATCTAACCAAAATAAATATGGTATCCATGGATAAACCAAAAGAAAGGAGAATGTTGTTTTCATCACTACAGCACAGCTGATTACATGTTGAGTGTGTTTATATAATGCTTTTTTTGGTGAGTATATTAATTCTACATATTGAAGAAGTTAATTTGAAATTACAAAGTTTCTAAATTTTCAACATTCAAATAATAAAATTATTTAATTTGATATGAATATACTTTTTTTAATATACATATGCACATATACATATGTATGTATGCATAGTTTAAATATCGTTGTCAGACGAATTAATGTGGTTTATCTGATCAGTAGGTTTAGCAAGTTCCACTGAAATTTTGAAATTGCATCCTCTGAAAATATACCTGCCATAAACCTAACATGTGCCTTATTAAAAAAAAAATAGTTTCTATTGAAAAAATTAATTATTTTTGTTTTAAGAAATTTTGAAAACGTGGAAAATAATTATTAATATCAGATCTATCAACCTTTTTGGACAAGGGAACAATTTCTACAATCTTTAATACACACAAAAGTAACACATAAACACACCGAAAATGACATAGAATTTTTTTTAAATAAGCAAGTAAATCAAAAATTTCAAAGTAGATCCTTTTCAGCGCTATATTTGAATTCGTATCAAAACTTTTTAACACCGAATCGTCTTTTAAAATTTAAAAAAGGAAATGTATTCAAAGAAAAATCTTTCACGCACAAGAATATCGTTCACAATAACAAAATATCGAACATTCCCAAAAAAAGATTATTAATAGGCAACTTCTAGATTCCAGTTTCAGAACCAATTTTTAAACAACTTTTAATCTTTTAAGCGGCTTCTATTTAAAAATCAATTTACCAGCACCCATATTTCTGGTTTCTAGTTTAGGTTTTAGCTATTAATCTTAATTTTCAACTTGTAAATTGTTCATTTGTTCCTGTATAGTTGCAAAGTAATAAAGTGTAATAGAGTAACCGAAAATTTAAAAATAAAAATTACAATTATTTTCTTCCGCATATTTATTTAGCTTAAAGTTTTTTATTGTATAATTTTATAGTTTTGAATTTAACAGCATTACAGTAACATTTAATATTTATGAATTTATAATTATAATGTAAAATTAAGCTCGATATTATTTATTGATATACATAATGTTATTTTTTAAATTTTTATTACAGAATTTATAATTGAACATAATTTACATTTATTTCATCTTGAATTTTTTTTTAATTGAGTACTTATACCTTTAATATATTTTATGTTTTGAACATAATTATTATGTCTCATACATAATGTACAATCATAGTACAAAATACGCATATTATGAATGCATATATATGTATGCACAAGTGTATTATGTACATATAAATATATAAGTATAATGTATATTTTAAATTTTATTCCAATTTTAAATTGTAAATTTATTATTTTGTGATAAATTATTTTTTTCTGGAACTAAATTCTATATAGTCTAGCAAAACTATTAGAAAGCGTTTTAACTAAAATTTAGAATGAATGTTAAAAATATTTAAAGAACAAACTTTAGTAAAAAAAGTTTTAATTCTTGTATTTAATGACAGTTTAATTACAGTATGAATATATGAAGATATGTTTGTATGTGATATAATAATGACTTTTTATTTTAAATTAAAATCTTAAAGATGTTCCTCCAAGTTTTTGTAAGAGTTGTTTTAATAATGCAAGATTTGTTGGTTCTTGTTTAAGATACTGAAATTTTTAGCATCTTTGATTTTAATTAGAAGAATTATTGATTATAAAATTTAATAAAGAAGAGAAATATAAAATGGACTTAAATTATATGTGTATATTAAATGATATTTTTAAATAAAATATTTAATTTAAGAAAATTTAATAATTAAACATAATAAAAGTGAATATGTATGTACATGCGCGTAATTTCAAGTTCGTTACTAGCATTAAAATTCATTTAAATTGAAATTTATTAGTGAATTTTGAGTTTTGATCATTATTAAGATATTAATATTTACGGTAACGTCAAAAACAGAAACTCTAAGCTAATATACACATAAATGCACTGAATAATATAGATGTCTCGTAAATTTTCGCATGCATTAATATTTCATAAATATTTGAAATTAATTCTGGTTATGAAAGCGAACAAGAGAACAACCTTTAATTCTATACATTGTAGTAATATGCTTTTTAGATTAATTTCGGAGACTGTATGTCCCAAGCTGAATTTCAAATTTTAAAACTGTATTGCTGCAGTTTGGAACTTAAGTTATTTGTAAACGTAATTGATATTGTTTTTTTACAAAATTCAGTTTGAAATAATAATTTCCCCCACACTTAGTAATAATTAAGTAACAGTACTAAAGCGTGCTTAGGGCACTAATTTTATATTCCTCTTCCTTTTCTTGAAGTCATGGCTTTTTTCAAAGAATAATGTTTAGTAACTTCATGATATCCAACAATCAAAAAAAAAAAGACGTAAACTTGATCCTTAACTTCAAAATTGCAAGTATTACGGTGTTGAAACATAATTCAGCTTCAGAGTTGTTAATGCTGAAGAGTATATTTAATACAGAATACCTTTTTACAGTACAATTTTGATTTTGAAGTTAGAGATTGTAAACAAAGACGGGCAGACAACATTATAGGCTGCAAGTCGACTATCAATATGATAGAGAACAATGTTAATGATTTTAATATCTTTATTTACTTTTATATACTATTATACATGTATGTACGTTAGTAATAAATAAATTAGATTTTAAAAATAGATTTCTTTCATAGTAACTTAGTAAAATTACAAAAAAATAATACTTAATTAAAATATTATTTTACAGACTGAAAATATTAATATTGTTGTCATAATAAGAAATTACAAGTAGTTATACTCTTTTTTGTCACATTATAGATTATTTAAATTTTTGATTTTCTAAATATTTTTTTTTTTAATTTTCTTTTTTTAAAACAGTAAAATTATTAAAATATCACTAACAGTTTTGTTAACTTAGTAAATTCTTTAATCAAATATGTTTAATAATGATAAAATTTTTATTATTTTTAATATTAATTTATTTATTTTTTTTTTTGTTTTTAATTTTTTGTTGAGGTTGATTTGTTTGACAACCTCTCATTTAATTTTTACATGATTATTTTATAAATTTTATACTTTTTTTTGACTAGACTTTTATTTAAAATATGTATGTATATAATTTTTAAGAGGCTGGGGCATGTCTAATTGACAGCGTTTGTTTTTTCTAACATATCAATAGAACTGTCAATAGTGCAACAGTTTAAAGTTATAGCAAAAAGTAATTTTAAAAATTTTTTATTTATTTAAATTTTATCCAAATTTTTTTATATATAAATTAAATTTGCATATTGATTATTTTATAATATTTTTGAATATTTACTTATACATATATATATATACGTATATAATGTGAATATTAATTTAATATGAGAAAGATTCAGTTAATTGTAGATAACAGTTTCTCTATAACTGAGAGTGTTCAGGGTATAATCTTCTCATAAAAATTAAATTTCACACTTTTAGGTTATTCTGTACATATACGAGTATTTTATATAGAATTTGTATTTTTGAAAAATTTGAAAAGCAAGAAAATTATTATCGAAAGTTTGAATTTTAATAAATATTGCGGCCACGTTGATTTTTTTATTATAAATTATTTTTGTGTATATATTTTTGAATTTTTTGTTTTACACCAAATCTACATATTTGTTGTAAAATATGTACTTAATAAATATTGTTGCCAATTCGCAAATAAATAATATGGTTATGCATGCATATAACGGCATAATAATTAATTAATTGTAAAATTAATAATTTACTTTAAATATTTTATAAATTAAATAATATTGTTACTAATTTGTGAGCCCTTGAATTATTTTATAATTTAAGGGATCACAAATTAGTGAAAATTTATAACAATGTTTGACATTAATAGAAACAGAAATTTTTGTTAATTTGCTTTTTAAGCAGAAGATTCAATTGCTGAATAAACTGAATATAAAATAATTTAATCTTGAAAAATTTAAAAGACTTTTGTAAGTGTAACTTAAGAAGTGTTATCAAATATATTTCCCAAGATTTCGATTTAAAACCTCCGTATAGCTTCAAAAATGCAGTAATACTGTGTTATTACAAAATTCAGCAACTACGAATTTGTAGACGAACTTACGTAATTGTGTATTAACACCGTGTTACTGTAATTTTGGAATCGAAGCGTTTATTAAGTTAATGAGTACCACGAAAAAAAAAATTTAATTATTATGCCATTTTGACAAGCGTTTTTTTTTCTTTGTCGTTGTTATTAAAATTTAATTCATAATCTTATTTCTACCATTAAGTTTTTCCACATTGATTACTGAAAACTTGTCTGATTAACATATACATATGTAAATTATATAGATAAGTATATATTTTAATAATTCGATTATCACTTATTTGTATTTGAGAAAGTTCAAATTTTTTGGCATTTTAGGATTTTAGATAATTTGATAAATTTAAAAATATTTTGTTTTTTACTTTATTGAGCTTAAATTAACTAAAATATTTTTTTGTTCTAAATTTTTTTTCATTTTAATTTTTTTTTTTGTACCTATAGATTTAATTAAATTTGTTTTCTTCGTTTTTAATAAATTAATAAATAGTTTTCCCGTTTTAAATATTCTTTGTAATATAATTTATTGATATAATATTAAAATTTGTAAAATTTTGAAATTAAAAATACTTAAGTAAATTTTAAAACTTTCGTTATATAATATTAATTGAAAAATTAGTAAAATAATAAAATAAAAATATTATTACAGAGTAGTTTACTGTTCATCCTCTGGTGGCATTTTTGCTAACGTTAGCAAAATCATTGTAAGTTCTTTTCGTGAGATTTTTCCTTCTTTATCGTAACCCACACCACGTAAAATTGTTTCTTCAAATTCAATTAAATCTTGTGCGTCATAATCCTTGAATATTTGAAGTGTTTCAAATAATATTGAAAAATTGAATTTTATTCAAAAATATTTTCAATTATTTTCAAATTAAATATTAAATTACCTTTTTCACTAATTCCAATAAATCTTTCAAAAAACCTCGAAGTTCTTCATTTTCAATACTTCCGTTGTTATCCTAAAAAATTTATTAATATTATAAATAAAGTTTAGTTTAAATATTATGGCAATTAAGGTCGGATTTGATCAATATTTTTTATGGAAAAACATATTTAACCTTGACGAATTTGTAATTTTTGGGAAAGTGAGAAATTCTTTATTAAAGTTTTCAAACGATTTGAGTAAAATTGCCTAATTTTAGGATAAATTAAAAAAAAAATAATAGCCGAAGGTTGAGGCAAAATCAAGTTATTTTGTTTTGAAAAATGACGAACAAAATCAATGTTGAGAACATTTTGGTTGGATTCAAACGAATAAAAAATTTTCACTATAGGAGTATAGACCGTTTTAGTTTTTTGATTAATCTCGCCTTCAGATTGTTTGTGAACATTTATAATAGTTAAAATTTAAAAAAATCCGGAAAGAGATTTGAAAAAGAGTTTCGCAAAGTTTACCCTGCGGGTGGGAAGTTGTGATAAAGAGATGGAGGGATAGATATAAAAAAATGTTAATCTATATACAGAAGTCATTTTTATAATGAAGTATAGTTGTGTATACAAGGTATTTGTATTAAAAAATTTGAGTAAGTTTTTTAAAGAAACACCCTACGAGCCAATTAATAAGAATAATTAAACTTTATAAAAAAAACTTGCAATTTTTCAACCCCTCATCAAAAAAAAAAAAATTCATTTTAGGAAAAAAAAAAGTCTTAAACCGAAAACAAAACACCAATTTGCGGCTTCGTATTGAAGCATATGTTCGCTTATGTTCCTGCTATTTTTAATACTTGTACGAAAAGTTCTTTGGATGGTATTATAAATTTTTCAATCCATTTGTAATGCTGAGAAATATACGTATGAGATATAGCACAAGCATTGTTCTTTTTATCAGTATCGAATTCTGAGTTATAGTCACATTTATACTGGTCCATTCTGTTTGTCTGTCCGCTCGTTTGTCCGTCCCAGAGATAATTCAAATGTCATTAAATTGTTTAAATTTTCACGAATTATTAAGAGTTTGAAGAACTCTTTTTAACTTTTGTTTAATGAAAGCAGTGGTTCGAGTTCTTGCTATGCAAAAAATATTTAGTTAATTTCGCATAAATGAATAAAATTATATCTTGCATAGTTTCCATGTAATCCCTTAAATAATTTGGTAATGTCTCGAAAACTATAAAGCCTAAAATATTGAAACTTTGCATAAACGAGGGCGGTAATATGGCCCATTATTCCAATAAAATATTGTAATGGTTGTATATAAGTACGTATAACAACTGCTACACAAATTCAAAAATAATTTGTATTAAATCCATACAATTTGTATAACATATACAACTAAGTGTAGTTAACTGTTCACGTTCACAGTTAACTCACGTTAGTAGTGAATACTTTTTTGTACTGTCACTTGTAGCTTTTGCAAAATATTCATACGGTTATCATAAAGTTGACATGATCAACTCTATTTTTTTTCGTTCTTATGATATTTTTAAATCTGTTTAACTACTTTACTGTAAGTGTGATATACACCTCACCTCAATTTAATGACCTAAGGTGTTTTGATAACTCATCCAAAGATAAATTTCTATGTATGTACGATACAACTAAAAGTTTAACATACTTTATAACATCCTTTATTTTACGCAACAATCTTCTTTTTTTTAATAAATTAAAACCATAGTGTTACATATTTGGTTCAATGTACATATACTCATACATAAAGAATATCTACATAAAATAACACCACAAAAATATAACCCAAAAAAACAAAAGAAACATAAAATAAAATAATGGAGGGTTAAAACCAATCATTATTAAATATTTAATTAGAAAAAAAAAATGAAAATTTTAATTTTAGTTTACTCTCCATTGATATTCAAAAAGCTCCTTACCCTATCGTATAATGAAAAAACTTTTTCGATGTCATCTTTTGTAAGTTTGGCAGCACCCTGCAAATAACATATAAAATTTGAATTAATAAGAGTTTTTCTTTAATAACAGCAATGTTATCAATAGGAACATGTCAATTTTAACAGCTTATATTACTTTTTATGAACTCAAATAATACTGATTACAGAATTTAGAACAATTTTTTTTTTTCTGTGTTTTTACGAACTTATTCAAAATATTATATAATATTTATAAGAGTCCTAATATTTAACATCAAATGATAGTTTCGAATCATGTTTTAAACAGTAAAGTATTTTTTTTAGAATTTTTTCTTTCGTATATTCTTTAGCATTTAAATTTAAAAAAATTAATTTAAGGGCTTAAGAGAAAATAAATTGTATATAGAAAAATAAAATTTGCAATAATTATTTACAATATAAAGTGAAGATAAAGTGTAAAACTTAAAAAATGTCTTTTTAATTTTTTAAACATTTTATTGAAAATTTTGTTAACACATGCAAATTTCAATGTTTTTTTTTTTAATTATTTTTCAATTTAGCCAAAATAAAATTAAAAAAGAAACTACTACATTTTAATAACAACAATTTTTGCACATTTTCCTATATTTTTTTTTTTACAATTTAATATAGGCATTTTAAGAATATTAAGCAGTTAAGCAGAATTTTTAAGCTAAGATTATAATTTGGGTGCGAAATAAAAGTGCGAATATCGTATAACTCAATATACGATATTAAAATTAAAAAAATTTGCAATAACAAGAAAGCTGAGGAATATTCTAGAGCTGACATTTAGTTTAGTATCAATTTAATTTGATTTGACATGGAATCGGTACCAAATCAAATTTATATCGAAAAATGGTTAAAATTGAATGTGTTTATCTTCTTTATAAGATTGTATGAATTTATGTACAAATTTAATTTTGTAAGACATACACCCTTATTATGATCGGCGAAGCGAATGGCTAGGCGAGTCGAATGGACTGGGCGAATCAAATGACATTTTAAATTATGATCGGCGAATGCTTTCATTCGTCAGATCCAAAATGTTGCTACCGAAATACATCAGAAAATCTACTGAAAATAATAAAAGGAGAATAAGGTTAACACTATACATATGCAAATTGTTTTTGCTTTTTTGCAAAACCAATTGAATTTTCCTATCCCTTTAGTAATGTCGGAGTTGTTGTTCATTATTTTAATTAATGCTTGAATTTTTTTTGGTTCGCTTTTTTCACGCTTAAATTAATATTAAACAATCAGTATTTTTTACAATAATTTGTAGAATTTTATGAACTTGGACAATAGTTTGGATTTTTCTATTTTATCACTATAAACTTTTAGGTATTATTTTGATTTTTGGTTTCATTCGCCAAGCTTGTCACACAGAATTTTCATTCGACAGCTCATTCGCCTAAAACTTAAACAAATTCGCTAATCATAATACCAAAAATTCATATTCGGAAAAAATTTTCCTTCGCTTCGCCGATCATAATAAAGACCATAATGGAATATTTCTCGTTTGTTGCACTTTCTTTACGAAATTCCAAAATTTAGGTAATTAGGATCTTTTCTAGGTCGATCAATAATATATGAATTTGATTCTTTTACAGATTTTGAATTAATTAATTTTCGTATTTACATTAAATTTGGAAAATTAGTAGTAAATTTAATTAGATATTATTTGATATCATATAGAAAGTGATTTTCTAGAAGACATTCTCCTAATTTAGTTAATTCATATAATAACTTAATTTCTTAATTTTTATCAAACCATTAATTTTAAAATTGAATTCAAAAGCATTCAATGATACAAATTCATTGAATTCAATTAATTTTGAATTCAACGAATTTACGGATATTTTAATAATAAACCAAAGAAACGAACAATTTTAGAGTAGCATATTATGTTTATTAAAAATAATCAACCATATACACTAGGTCCTCGAGATACGACATCTTCTAATACGACATTTTGAGTTACGACATGGTATAAATTTTGGCCATTTTTATTCGGCTTGCGATAATGTTCCTGGTACGACCTTAAAAATTTTTTTATTTTTCTTTTTTGACAGATAACAGTGATTTTTGTATTTAATTATTAGACAAGTCTAAAGCACATACTTCAATAATGAACTCTTTCTAGTTAAAAATACTAGCCAGTAATTAAAAATACGAATTGAAATGATATTCATATCAATTTAGACAATTTTATTTTATTTTTGATACAAAATTGAAATTTTTTGGTTTCGTATTTTTTTTAAAACTTTGTTCAATTTTTCTAAAAAACAGGTGAATTATAACATAAAATAGTTTGTCCAATTCAAATTTTGTTTTTATACATTTTTTCCCAACTCAAACGACATTTCGAGTTACGACATAAATTTTTGAAACAAAACAATTCGTATCTCGAGGGCTTAGTGTAGTTTCTTAAAGCAAATAAAATAAAAATTTGTGAAAGTACTTTTTTTTTGTCTTTTAAGAAAAAAGTTACTTTGTACTAAAAGGAAAATGTGCTAAATTTAAAAAGAAAAAACATGAAAATAATATTTTATAACATTATAAACGTAATATCAAATTTAAGCATAATATGCAATTGTATATATTATAGTATGTATTAAAATAAGTAGCAAAATATATGTAAATTTTAATATTATATAACATACATAAATATTATATAATATAAATAATTAAGAATAAAAAAAAATTAATTATGAAAAATAAATTATTTAACACACAATGAATTTATATAACAACAAAATTTTTCAATGAAATTTACATAATTTTTTAAATAACATTTAATTGTTTTATTAAACATTTGTTTTTGTTTTGTTTATTTGTTTTTAATAACAATTGTAAATGCATAATCATTTAATATACTCACTTCAATACCTTCCTTTTCACATAAAATCACCATATATAAATTTATTTATTGAATTAAATAAATTTGATTTTAATTAAATTTGTAAATTTTTTATTTTGAGGAAAGTTTTAAAAAAAAAATTTTTAATTTTTCGTTTATTTTATAAAAAAAAAATTAAAAAAAAAATATTTATGTGCACATCATATTATTATTCATATATATAAAAAAATGATAGAATGGAAGAAGATTGAGAAGAAAGAGAAAGAGAAAAAAGATAGTAAGATAGAGTTATGTATATATATATATATAGAAAAATTATATAAAATCTAAATTTTTATACATATATTCTTTATTTCGCATTCAAAATTATATTCGGTGCTTAAATATACACAGAAAGCTTATTACACTTACAATTCAAAAAAAAAATTAAATTTAAATTTGAAATATTTTAATTTTAAAGAAAAATTTTTATTCAGATTTTTTATTTTTGTAATTAAACTATTTTATAGAGGATTTACTAATTATAGCGTAATTTATTCTACAAACTAATAACCTATGATCACTTCAAGTTAGCATCACTAGTAGTTTACATCACTGATAGCATGCCCTTAAAGTACTTACTAAAAATTTCCATTTTACAGCAGTATTATTTTAGGTCTTGTTGGTAAATTTTCGATTACAGTATTGTCAGATCTATATATTTAGAAATACTAGATTTTTTTGAAGAAAACTCTTTGTAATAATAATTTATTTCTCTTTTACTTTTAACTTCCCTCATATGAAGAAGATTGAAAAATTAAGTCCATTTAAAATTTGTTTTGCATTTCTAATTTAGAACTTAAATAATTTGAACAACAAAAATATGATTCTATAAAAACGTAAAATTTAATATTTGTGGGAATTTAAAAATAAAAAAAAAAATTAAAACAGTAAAACTGCACTGTATTGACCTACGTTCTACAAGATTGTAGAACATTTCACAAAATGATTTTTCACTTCCCTTATTTACAATGTCCTTATTATGTCATATACAATGAGACTGATTGTAATTTCGACAATATAATTTTTTTTTATTTATTTTCTAAATTAGTGCTTTTTACTTGAACAAGTGGAAATACTGCTTTTAAAACAATTTACTATTCAAATTACTTTTATGAAATATTCCATATATTTAGGATGAAAAAAAAAATTTAAAGCGTTAAACTAATGTTCGAATTCAAGGGTTAATTGTATGAGTTATTATATAAAATAATATTTTTTGCTGTCATGGCATTATTACTGTTAGTTTCTTCCAGCTTAAGAAATACAAGGCGCCGAAACTTGAAATTTAATTCGAGAGGGAAAAAATTTTCTTCTTGCGAAATAAATTATTCAGTGGTATCTAAAAGTTCATTAAATTTAAGACATTAACATTTTACTGTCAAGGAAAAAAACGATATTAAAAATTCAGTAACGATATAAAAAATCAGCTATTTCAGGTTTTTATTTTTTTGGTAAAAATCTGAAATTAAGTTGCCAAGATCAGGGCTGCGCGCAAGAACATTTACCTTCCAAATAAATTTATTCAAATTTTGCACTTCCTCAATTTTATTAAGAAATGCTGAAGGACGAATAGAAAATTTTTGAATATTTTTTAATAAAATTCATGAAAGTTTAGACTTATGGCCTGTGAATCGTTCTTAAACAAATTTCCTTTGAAATTGGGAAAATCTGAGAACACATAAATTCGTGATTATTACATTTTCAGTGTAACAAATTGGCAAAAATCTTTAAAAATTTTCGATTTTAAAAATTAATATATCAGAAAATTACGATCTTGATTTTATTCAATGGCAATAACATATAAGCTATACTTATATCAATGCTTCTTATATAAAAAATAAAAATGTTTTAAAATTTATCAATTAGAGATTTTGAAAATTTAACTTCGCCTTTCTTCGTAAATCAAGCTGTTTAATGACGTTTAATTTTTTTAAAATTTTTTGATTTTAACATTTTATTTTTTATTTAAAAGGATCTCTAAAATTAAGTGTTAGAATAAAGTTAGTTATTAATTTATAATAAATATATTTTTGGAACATTGCTTGAATATTCCCAAAGTGTATTGCAGTATTTGTTAAAAAATCCTTCCTTACACTTAATTCCTATGTTCATGCATCATTATATAATATCCTTATTCATTTGTCATAATAATTTTGTCGTGATTTAATTTTTAAATATGAAAATTACATGACTAGAAAAGAAAAACATATTTTATAAAACAAATAAAACTGAATTATTTGGGAAATTTTCTTTGAATAAAATTTTAAGATTTATTAACCCTCTTGTTTTTATTTGTGTTATTAAGAAAATTTTTGAAAATTTAGGTTTTGATTTTAAACGTTATACTCAAATTATAAATTCATTATATGACGTATCTAATTTTACATATATATTTATAAATAATTATGTATGTATCCTACAACTTATATTTTAAAGTCTCATAACTCCAAAATTTTGAAATTTTAATCTTATAAAGGACGAATTCAGAAGCGCAATGTATGGGCATAACGCAAAAAATTTAAAATATTTCAACCCAAAATCTTCATAAAGTTTTAAAGTTGTTTTTTCAGCAACACAATTTGGTTTTCAAACTAACAACAATTCAAGATGGTTTTGAATTTTATATAAATTTATCTGCCATTTTGTTTTTAAATATTTTATACTTAATAAAGTTAAATTTGTTTTGAAAATGCTCGAGCTGACGGACATAAACGTCCAACATGTACCAGAAACAAGTTTGTATAAATACATGATGTTGAACCAAACTTATTACTGAACTCGCGGTGTTTCCAATTTGAAACACACGATAATATAATTTTCCTGTTGTTAATGTAAAATATTGTTTAAAATAAAAAAAATTTGAAAATAACTTTTAGTTCCTACCACGCTTGCTTTGAATAATTTACTCAAATCCATGTGGCAATTTCGAGATTTACAATTAAAATAAATGAAACTGTATTTTGTTTTGACAACTGTGGCATACATTTTGAAATAATCTCAGTTTTGACAGAATGTTGTTTTGTAATCCATAGTAAAGAATGCATAGCATTGTACAGGATTATTACAATTTTGATGTCATTTTGTGTTACAATTTTGAATTTGTATAATATTTATAGAAAGAGAAAAAATGAATTATTTAAATTTTGGTTTTCAAAAAGAAAAACAAAAAAAAAACTAAACGAAAACGCGACTTTATTAATATAAGGATGAAAGTAATTTTTATTTGCTGTTTATAGAATGTTTATTTTTGTTAGAATGTGGTTAAAATAAATTTTATATTGTTGTTTCTTGTACAAACACTTATGCATACATATATGTAATTAGTTGTATATAGAGAGTTTTATATTATATTTTAATGGTTTTCCAATACTTTTTGAAAGCTTATATCCTTGAACTGTTATTCAAATATTTAATATTTGATTTGAAAAATATTTTAAATTCATTTTCTAAGTTTTTTTATTTACGTTTTTGTGTTTTGCGGTTAATCGTAACTAATTTTTTTTTTTATTAAATTTGAAATCAATGCGTAATATTAACTGAAGCTGGTAGAACTGTATAAAATATCCTTGAACAAAATTATGTATGTACATAATTTGTAGAACAGTATTATTATTATAATGTTTTATCCACTTATGATTTAAGTATAAATGGCTTAATATAGGCTTAATGCGGACTATTCTATATGCTGAATATAATCATTTAAATATTTTTCTATTTATATAACGTTATTACGATGACTAATTCTCTAATCCTGTTTTATAATAAGCACGCTGAATACAAATAAACAGTTTTATGTGAATAATATTTTTTACGCATCATAATGCTTTTAAAAAGCATGTTTAGAATTTTTGTATTAACGTTTTAATAAAATTTTGAATATATATGCGAATACGAGTAACTAAATCACATAAGTAATTCAAAATATTATTAAAAACGGTATACATACATACAAGTAATTTTACTTAATTTTAAAAATCCTTGCATGATAACATTAATTATAAAAATAATTACATTGCATAATTAATTACACTATCAAAATGAACATTTTTTTATATAGTTGAGGAGTGTCCCTTTTTATAGTAGATTATATATAGGGCTATTAATATAGAAAATATTTACATTAACTGTTCATTTTCATATATATAGCATGTTTCAATTTTAATGATATACATACATATGTTTTATATAAGAATGATATTATACTTAAACACATTCTTTATTTAATCTTGACACGCTACAAGGATGCTTCAGTAGGCACATTAGGTTTAATTTAATTTCAAATAAGAATTCATTACTTATTTATTTTCAATACTTACACGTATTTATACGTTTCTGTAGTATATGTATATGCTGTATTAGGAATTTTTTACTAAAAAAACAAATCGTTTAATTATGTAGGTATGCACATATTTGTCTTGAAGTATGTCAATATGGTAATGGTAGTTCTAAATAGATCTCTACTTGTTTATAAAATGTTTACACAAATGCGTTTATTGAGTGAATTTGAGTGTTATTTACACAGGCACCCACAAAGAAAAGTAATGGGTGACAATTTGACGGCGCTCTACTCTATTGCAAATTTTTTCAAAAATTTATTTACTTTGTTCTTGTTGAATCTAGATTTTTCTTTGAGAATTTAATTGCAATCTTTAAGGATTTCGTTGGATGTTGAAAACCATAACATTTTTAATATGTAAATTTCAAAATTTACATGTACTAAAAAATTTTGTCATTAAACAAGAATTCCAGAGAAATTAAAAAAAAACTTAAAGTATACCTATGTACGTTTCCTAAAGTAAACAAAATAAAAAGTTGTTGCACAAACAAACTTACTTATATTATGTACAAGGGAATATTTATATACATAATGTTCAGGTACCATATTATACACCTAATTTATTATTTGCTTATTTATTCCATTCAAAATTTTAAATAATTTTTTTCCCTGGAGCAAATTAAATATTTTACATGAAAAGAATAAATATTATCAA